AGAAACCACCAGCAGTTAAGAAGCACTACCAGTAGTTCTTGCAATTTCCCAAAACCTAACCAGCATATTTTTCTTCCACTTCATTTCATATGTTTATTTCTTGCATTACATAGATCATGTAGTAAGAGTAATTACACTATTTTCTTGCCACTTTATAAATCATGTCGTAGGATCAATTGTTATAAATCCCTATTTAAACACTTGCAACTTCAATAGAAAAATAGTGAATTGTGTTCTTGTTCAATTAAGGTTCATTTCTTACCTTAATGATGAATTCTTCAATTAAACTTTTATTGGTTTTGAATGAGATTTATGAGTAGGAGCTAAAGGAGGTTGGAAAATATAGAAACAAAATTTTACTTAAACATGAATTCTCGTAGAAAAAATAAGGTCTTAATTGCTTAAAAGAGAAAATTAATTTTTAAGGGGAATGGGATTGTAAAACAAGGTCAGATTAATTTGTGAGAATATGACAAGAAGGCTTTACTTAATGCATTTATAATGGTAGAGGTTAACAAAAATCCAGTCGACAATAATGAATATCCTTTGTTGGAATTTTTGTTGTTTGAGGAGAGCCCACGATAATAAGATTCTTGAATTTCATGCATGATGTATATATTATTTAACTATGAAGATGAATGGAGTCAGGGATTTTATACATGTTAAGGCAAGTCAATTTGTTGGTGCAGGGTAAAATCCTTATATGAACATCACATAGACATCTTGATTAATAGTGTTAGGAAGGAGAGATGACGGTCCAAAGATATTTATAGTTAGTTTAAACATAATAAAAAACTAAGAACATGTGATTTAATTAGACAACTACATGCCAAGTTTCAATATCGATAGGTCATTGGAGGCAACTTTAATGAATCATGATACATGATGAAAAGCTAGGGGGTTGGTCAAAATTTGACTATTCTTTCCAACAATTTACTAATATAGTTGAGGAATGTGGTTTTGTTGATATAGACTTCTGAGGTGACACATTCACTTGAAGGAATGGTGATAAGGCACTTGTGTAATTTAGGTAAGCTTGATAAATTCCTTGAACAATCTTCCTAGTATGATTTATTTTCGGATGCCAGTGTTACACCCTTGTTGGGGTATTTATTAGATCATTCACCTATATGCCTCAAAATATATGGGGAATAGATTAGGGAATCAAGGTAGGATAAAGTGTTTAAACTTGAAGTTTTCTGGTTAAAGGAAAATGGGTGTCATGATGTAGTGAATGGGAAACTAGGGGGTACACTACCCTATTTGGGTTTGAAAGAAAAATAAATAGTTGTGCTAGAAAAACTAACATAATAGAACAAGGACGTGGTTGAAAATATTAGAGAAATAATGAGTCTGTACAAAGACAATTAGAAACAATGACGCAGGAGGAAATTCAAATAAAAGGATGAAAAATTTGATGAATCGTATAAAAAAGAAGAGTTGATGTGTGACCAAATATCACGAGTTGAATGGTTGAGATGTGGGAATTGAAACAGTGGTTTCATCCATGCACGGACATAAAAAAAAGATAAGACATTATACTATGATCTCTATTAAAAATGATATTGGTACATGGGTAAGGGATGTTAGTAAATGATGAGAATGCATTACTCCACTATTTATCAAGGAGAAAGTGAGTTGGTGATGCCCCCAATGCTTTATTGTGTACAAGTCCATGTCACAATAAAGATAAATCCTAACATGGGAGGGGAGAGTTGTTGTACTAGTGCAATGTAGGTGGATGCCTTTATTGGATTTTTTTACATCTCTTGGAATCATATTTTGAGAAATAAAGCTCGTCCTAGAGGATCAAATACAGAAGCTTTTATTATTTAAAAATTTGTAAATTTTTGTTTACAAAATATCAACAAAGTTAAGACAAAGTTAAATCGCATTGAAAGAAATTGTGATGAGTGTGATAATTCAATTTTTTTGAAATGAGTGTTTGTCAAAAAGGTAATAAATTCTAAGAGTATGGTATAATAGAAATAATCAAAAGATTATCTATTAAAAAATTATGACGAACTCGTAGAATTTATCAAGCAAACGTGCAAGATTTCTAGTTGCTTACATGTTCTTTTTAATGGATTAATGGTGTACTTGATATTTTCTATTTATTAATCTTATTTAATTTATAGAATCCATAAAGAAAAACGTGGACAAGAAACTCTTGGAGATGTTAAAAAAATACATTAAAAAGAGTTTTACCATTGGTTTAAAAATGATGCACGTAGAGAGATTATTTACCAATAGTTTGGAGGTTTAGTACGAAAGAAAGAGAAATGCATTTGAAATCTCAAAATAGTGGAGTTTAGCAAAATAAGATGAGAATAAGGTGAAGAGACTACTTTGGATTGTTAAATTTTAAGTTCTCCAATTTTAGTGCACATTCCAATATGGATAAGCTCATCCACGAATACTAGGGAGTATGTATATATATATTTAAAAAAAAAAAAAAAAGAGAGGTATTAATTATTAGATATTTCTGTGTTCCAAAAGAATGAGTCACGTGCTTAATGTGTTTTAAAAGAATGAGTCACGTGTGTAATTTGTTGGAGCTCCCAACTTAGATATAACATCATTTTTTTTCCCCTTAATCTGTATTTATATAATTTTTTTCAGTTAGGAAAATGTGGGGTCGGGTTGCCAAGGTACCATTTACGCCATCGGGCCAATTATTAGGTCCGCTGTAACGCCTAATCCGGATCGGAGCAAGTTGTTCCAGGGAGTCTGTCCTTTATATTTCGTTTGGCAGCGGGGGAAACGCTGTCGTTTGAGCAAATGACGAAATTGGCTTGGAGCTAAGTCAACAGAGATTTATCTGGGCGTTCCGTCCTCCCACCGTCAAAACCGGCGATGAGTTATTTTTCACCACAGGGAACTGCGCTACGAGATGTTCTCCAGCTACTTACCAGACAGGTTCTTGGATCGAATCGGCGAATCGGGTCAGGTAGCGTCGGAGTGGGCCAAGCAAGTCGAAATCCTGAGCCATCCATCAGTCGAGGTTTTTTTTTTCTATTTTTTTATCACACTGCGTGAATGGAGTTCTGATGATTGCGTGGCCACTTTTCCTGGAGCATATGATGAATGCTACGATCGAAGAAGCTGCTGCCGAAAGCTGTTATAGGTAGAGAGGAGATAAAGACGATGGTGGATAAAGACGGCCGTGGGATCAGAGACAGGGCCAAGGAGCTTAAACGGAGCGCAGAGAGCTAAAAGTAATCAAGTTTGAAATGGGGAGAGATGCTATAATAATTTGGTAAGATGGTTATGTACACTTTGGGGTTTTGGTTGTGTTTAGCAATGAACTTTGGTTAAAAAGTAGGGTCTAATGTAATTTAGGTTGGGCTTAATGGATCTCAGGAGCTTAATGGATCTTGTTAACCATGCAAATTATTTTAATGTGATTCAAGTTATTTATAAATAGTTAACTGTTAACATCTAATCAACTTAATTATTTTTAAAAATTCATTCTATCCTATATTTCATAATTATCGATGTTTAGTCAACTTAATTATTTTTATAAATTTTATTATTATATTCTATAGTTAATTAACAACAATAAATCATAAAAATTTATTATACCCTCTATCTTATATTCTATTCTAAATTATTTAAAATTTTAGTGAACTATCATATCCTATATTTTATAATATACACACACATATATATATTTACATATACATTTGATTATTTTTCCAGGCCTTTTGGAAGGAAGGAGGAGAATGAGAGTTTTTGAAGAACAAGAAGAAAAAATAAGGGGTATTAATGGCTTATCCATTGAAATATAATATCCATGAGATCATTTATTAAGGTGACACAAATGAGAGTGACTCTTCCCGATAATTATGGATGTGTTTTATTATATCATAATATATGCTTAAATTATATATATACACACACTTCAAGTTTAATTTTACCATCAAAGAAAATTCCATCTAATGAAATAGTAAATATATAATTTTGAGTCCATAGGATTATATATGGAACATATTTATTTATAAATCAGCGTTCTTATCATAAATATGAAACATGAAATAGATTAGAAAAAATTATTAAAAAAATTATCCACTTGAATTAAGATAAAATAGGTTCACATTATCATTTTTATAGTTTATAGTATAATGATAGTATTTGAATATGTGTTTTAGATAAATTATTAATTATTAAATAATGGTTTATGTTATGATTTAGTACTAATTTTTTATTTCAGACTAGAAATTCGAAAAAGAAATTAAAAAAAAAAAAAACAGTTCTTCTCACAAAATCTCTTTTTTATAAAATTACAAAAGATGGAAATTGTATTCCAACCTCAAGCACAAAAAATATTACATTTTCAACAATTACATTTTCTCTGTGAATATATGTTATTAAAATTAAATTTTGATTGTTACATTTTTAAATTTCAATTAAAAATAATTTATGGATAATTATATAAATATTCATGATTAGAAAAAATTTATAAATTTAAGACTCAAATTATATATATATATATATATATTTTTGTAACAAAAATAATGGTTTCAACAGTAAAAATCTTATATCTATCTTCTGTATTTAAAAAAAATTAATATATGTTTTTATCAGCTCTAATATTATTAAACTATTAAATGATATGAAACAATCAGTGATGAGTTATTAGAAAAGCTTGTTTAATTAATGAAAATGGTTTCGGCTTAATTATTTAAGTTGCATATATGCAGGCCAAATAAAAGTGTATATTTTCAGAGTATGAAATTTAACCAAAAAGTCAATGTCAGGCTTCATTAGTTTTTAAATAGGAGAAACGACACTTTCATAAATAGTTCAATATATAAATTCTAGTTAAATCCCAATCGTACATCTGGCTGGCTTAGATTTAACATTATTACAAAGTCCATCAGCAATTTCTAATTATAAATACCAGGAACAAACTCAGTCAAGCCTGAAGCAGCAGCATGTATAAATTAACACACACCAGTTTACATTTCTACTACAAACCAAAACCTAAATCCGCAGCCATGCAAAACCCTATACCACATGCCGCTCTCCTAGCCAGCCCTGGCTTGGGCCACCTCATCCCTGTCCTTGAACTAGCCAAGACCCTCGTCGACCCCCATGGCTTCAGAACCACCATTTTCGTCATCCCAATAGACCAAGCCTCCACTGCGCAAAACCAGCTGTTTAAATCACCCAACCCTGATCTCATCGACATTGTTGTGCTCCCTTTTGTCGATATCTCCGACCTGGTTGACTCAACAACCTCGGTGGTGACAAGTCTTGTTTTAATGATGCGCGAGTCCTTGCCCCTTCTGCGATCTGCGATCTTTGAAATGAAGGTCACACCCACCGTCCTCGTTGTCGACTTGTTCGGAACTGAAGCTTTCGACGTAGCGGACGAGTTCGGGATGTTGAAGTACGTGTTCGATACAACCAATGCGTGGTTTCTAGCAGCCACTATATACGCTCCGACTCTTGACAGGAGAGTTCTGGAAGAACATGCTTACGATAAAATTCCACTGAGGCTTCCGGGTTGCAGACAGGTACTATTCGAGGATACCCTTGAAGCGTTTTTGGATCCCAAAGACCCGACTTTCGAGGTTTTCCTGGAACTGGGGAAAGGGATACCAAAAGGTGATGGGATTTTGGTTAACTCATGGCAGGAGCTTGAGGCCACGACGTTCAAAGCCTTGGAGGATAAGAGTTTGTTGGGTCGGGTCGCCAGAGTACCCGTCTATCCTATTGGCCCGCTGGTGAGAGGGGTCGCGTCAACTCAAAACAGTAACGTTATAAGTTGGCTAGACAAGCAACCCATGGAATCGGTGTTATATGTCTCGTTTGGGAGCGGTGGAACCTTGTCTTCCAAGCAAATAACTGAGCTGGCTTGGGGATTGGAGTTGAGCCAGCAGAGATTTGTTTGGGTGGTGCGCCCGCCCATGGACGACGATAAGTCCGGATCTTATTTCAGCGCCGGCAACGGTAACGGTGACGGTACCCCAGATTTCTTACCAGAAGGGTTCGTCGCCAGGACTCGAGATATTGGCTTGGTGGTCCCCAGTTGGGCCCCGCAGAGAGAAATCCTGGCCCACCCAGCAGTGGGCGGGTTTTTGTCGCACTGCGGCTGGAACTCCACCCTAGAGAGCATTACCAATGGCGTGCCGATGATCGCCTGGCCTCTCTGCGCCGAGCAGAAGATGAACGGCACTATGCTGGTGGAGGAACTCGGTGTCGCTCTCCGAGCACAGGCGGCAGCATACGAGGATGTGGTGGGAAAGGAGGAGATCAAGAAGATGGTAAGGAAGATTCTTGTGGAGGAAGAAGGAGAAGAAATGAGGAAGAGAATGAGAGAAGTCAAGTACAGCGCCCAAGAGGCCGTAAACAAGGGCGGTTCTTCTCTTAAGTCTCTGTCTCAAGTGGCATCCAACTGCAAAATCAGGAGTGAGGACCTCGGAGCAAAGTCCAAAGGTGCTAGAGGAGATTTGTTAATCTCTCAGTAACTCAGTATCTGCAGTATAATATGTAATATTATGTATAAGATGGTATTCTACGTGAAGCACAAGGTTTTAATATTATGTATGTATGTGTGTATATATATATATGGTGTATTTATAAGCTTAATTTTTATAAACTGTATTTATCTATTTTAATATTTATATTGGATTCAGACCGCTTCTAATACTTTCATATATTCATATAAAATTATAAAAAATGTAAAAAAAAAAATTTATATAAAAAAATAATGCATAAGAAATAGCATTCAAGAGGGAACATTGGTTTGCATCACCTGTATAGAAAATCCCAACCATTATTATATGATAATATAATTGAAATGGGAATGTTGATAAATCAAATAGTCAAATGGGATTTTAATGTTTTGTATATACGCTTGGGGTGGCCTCCTGTGTGCCAAGGAATGAGAATCAATAACAGTACCAAGCAATTATATAGGGGGAAGGGGGAAAAAGGACTTTAAGAAAAGTCAAATAATAATAATTAGTAAAAAAAATTAGGTCTTAGTTATTTCTTATATAACTACTTCCTTATGCAATTAATTGAGTGCTAAAAGTAAGTAATTCAAAATAAATTTATCACATTATTTTTGGAAAAAACCGATCGACTAAAACTTTAGTTGACTCTAAAAAATTACAGGCATCTCTGTATTAACCCCACTAATTCCTTATATAGATAGATGTAGGTGTGTATTATGATATATATATATATATATATAATAATAATAATATCCTTCCACGCTCATCATTTACGTAGGGCCTCCATTTTGTTTGTATTTTTATTTTTTTTTATTTTTGAAGTGTAGATTGAGATCATCTATCTAGACAATGAATATGACTTGTGATATTAAACTAAACAAACAAATGTCATCATCTATGTATGTGTATATATATATATATATATATATATCATGGTCAACTTAGAAGTTTCCATTGCTGTATATATATAAAAATCTCTCAATTTTTATATTTCCACAAGGCAGAAAGAATGTATGGACCGACCGTCTATCAGCGGATGCTTCATCATGTTTAGCTTAATTAACAGAGAATTTTTAATTGAAGTTTTTCTTAAAAGAAAATTATACGATGCCAACAGGATGTTAAACAAATACTACACAATCCTTTTGCAACCCAAGCAGTGCATTTTTGATATGACATGACATACACACCTCAACACCACATATTTTTTCATATTAAATATTAAATTAATCCCTTTTATTATTATTAAATAAGACCATCATTCACTAAGAACACCTCCCTTTCATATTAATAAATAATGATTTTCTTAGTAATGATTTTAAATTTTTAAAATAATATTTACAAGTCAACTTTTGTTGTTAATTATGCAGTAAAGTTATTCAATCGTAATTTGTAATATATATATATATATATATATATATATATATTTTTAATTTTAATAAATAGGGAAGCTTTTATGAAAGTCCACGTAATTTGAGCTGAATATTATCAACTAAGATATTATTGTCAATTAATTACCCAACTTCTTTCAAATTTCTACCACTACTTGATAGTTTATGGAAAACCACAAAAATCTCTCACCTAGCCATGGCGTTATATATATATATATATATAGGATATAGATATATATGATTAATTCATGATCATCATCAGGAGCCGAAAGAAATAGAACACGATTCTGAGAGGAGAGGCGCCAAGTGTCGATACACATATATACGCGTCTATATAGATATGTATAAGTACTTGTATTCCTTTGCCATGACTTTCGCCCATGTATGTTTATGTACGCATACTTGTATTCATTAGCCATGACTTTTTCCTCGTAGCAACAGCTCACTAAGGACGTAATAAATTAGTTTCCATTAATAATGTGGTTGAGGAAGGAGGCGGTGGTTGATCATATCACAAGGATCTAAAATGTACGTAAATACATGTATATATATATATATGTGTCTCTGTGTGTGTGTGTGTGTGCGTGCGCGCGTGAATAGGTAAGTAAATGAATAGATATACACACCACTGATACCAGCGGATCAAATATGGAAACCAGAAAGCCTCATGCAGTTCTACTGGCAAGCCCTGGGCTGGGGCATCTCATCCCCATTATCGAGCTCGGTAAACGTCTGGTCACCCACCATGGCTTCATTGTCACCGTCTTTGTTGTGACGGTCGATACCTGCGCACGAACACAGCTTCTCATGAAATCATCAAACTCAGCTGGTCTTCTCAGCATTTTCCACATACCATCTGTCCATATCTCCACCCTACTTCCAACTACATCAGATATAGTAACTAAAATTAAAGTGATGATGCAAGAGTCTTTGCCCTATCTTCGATCAGCCATCTCTGAGATGAAAACTGCCCCAGCAATTCTCGTCGTCGACTTATTCGGGACAAAAGCTTTCCTCATTGCCGAAGAGTTTAACATGTTGAAGTACGTATTTGATACTTCTACTGCGTGGTTCCTTGCGGTGACGACTTACGCTCCTGCTCTTGATAGCAAGGCATTTGACGAGCATGTCAACGAAGAAAAACCCATGAGCATCCCGGGTTGCAGACCACTTCCATTCAAGGATACTTTTGAAATCTTTTTTAACAGATCAACACCGGAGTATGAGCAATTCATGGCTATGGCGGCTGAGATTACAACGGCTGATGGGATTCTGGTGAACACATGGGAGGATCTCGAGTCAACAACCCTAAAAGCTCTCAGAGATAAGAAACTGCTACGACCATTTGTTCGAGCACCAGTTTATCCGATTGGCCCAGTGGCTAGATCGGTCAGGTTTCCTGCCACTGGTGACCTGGTTTCAGACTGGCTAGACAGACAACCCAACAAGTCCGTCATCTACGTATCGTTTGGGAGCGGTGGAACACTTCCATGCAAACAAATGACGGAACTGGCTTGGGGTTTGGAGCTCAGCCACCAAAGATTTCTCTGGGTGGTAAGGCCGCCCATGGAGAACGATCCATCTGGGTGCTTCTTTACCAATTTCAACGACAACGAGGGTGGACATTATCTCCATCTAGATTTCTTGCCTGTGGGGTTTTTGACCCGAACCAAGGGCAGAGGCTTAGTAGTTCCGTTGTGGACTTCGCAGCCAGAGATCTTGGGACACCCATCGGTGGGCGGGTTTTTATCTCACTGCGGGTGGAATTCGAGTTTGGAGAGCTTGGTGAACGGTGTACCGATGATCGCTTGGCCACTGTTCGCAGAGCAGAAAATGAACGCAGCGATGCTGACGGAGCTCGGGGTGGCCGTGCGATCAAAGGAGTTGGCAGCTAGTGGAGTGGCAAGTAGAGAGGAGATAGGGACTATGGTGAGGGAACTGATGGAGGAGAATGAAGGAGAAACAATGAGGAAGAGAGTCGAAAAACTAAAGCGCAGCGCAGAGGAAGCCGTAAGGGAAGGCGGTTCATCTTATAATACCTTGTCTCAGTTGACCGCAGAGTGGGAGAAGAAGGTATTTGGCACGTTAAACCACTTGACTATTGTCCCACTACTAGAGAATTGGATCAACCACACCTTTTAAATATAAATCATGTCCCAAACCAAATAAAATCCCAAAATAACCAAACAATATCTCAAAATAAATAATATCGCGGCATCGTTGTAATGTTATCCTTCTTTATTAAGTTATAGTTTCAAATCAATAAAAATTTATCTCTATATGCATACATGATAAGAGTTTGATTATATTATTTTAAAAAGTTGGTTATAATATTATGTTATGTAAATATTGTTTAATTATTAAAATATATAATATTTTATAATTATAATAATATCTCAAAATCAATAAGTACCAACTTGTTAGCAAAACAATTAACGATTTTATAATAGTTAATGTTATACTATAAAAAAAAATTGGAGTTTTAATCAATATATGTTTGAATATTTAATATTCAAGTTAAGTTGTCAATTACAAACTACTATAGAAATATTTACTCTACTATTTTTTTTTTTTTTTTTTTTGAGTGTAATAGAAAATACCATTAATTTAAAATAAAGTGAAGTTCATCTAATACAAGCAAAAGAATCAAGAAAACAGAAAGTTCATGTGTTACAAAACTCCTACCCAGGGTAAAACATATTCTATTTCTCGAGACATTGGCAACCACATTCGAATTTTTAGGAATCTATATAAAAATATATATATGTGAAGAAAACAAAAAATTATAAGTATATCATCAGTCAATAAACCCACTCAACTAGCAATCACTATGTGTGAGAGTTTGTCAAGCCTCTGGTTAGCAATCTTGGGCAGGGAGCTCTTTCCAATGATTCTCATTGTTGACTTTGTTTAGGATACAAGCTTTGTCCATGACAAAGGGTTGGAGATGACAAAATACATGTTTATGACTTCTTTAGCATAGTTTATTGCATTGACACTTAAAGTGCTATATGTTGATAACGAATAGCGAGATAATTATCTTAATAACTATGAGTCATTGTGCATACTAGGTCACTGCTCGAATCAGTTCGAGGATACAATTGTAAGAATTAAAAACAAAAGTTATCAACCTCTGCAGAATTCTCATACATGGTAATTGAGATATTGACCTAATAAACTTTTAGTGAACATGTGAGAAGATCTTGAATCCTCTAAGTTTTAAGAGATGAAGGGATCGTTAACAGGTAATTTAAGTGGGTTCTAGTTCACTCGATTAGCCCATTGGTGAGACCAGTGAATCGAATTCAAGGCAATAAATGATTGGTTGACTTAACAAATAACCAAAGGAATTTGTGGTATTTATTTCATCTGGGAGTGGAGGGACATTGTCAGCAAAGCAAACCACTAAGCTAGCTAAGTGAACAAAGGCTTGTTTGGGTGGTATGGGGCCACTCATCAAAAATAATTTATTAGCATCATATTTGAAGTCATATGATCAACATGATGAATCATATTATTTCTTACTTGATGGGTTCTTAGTGAGGACCCACAAGATGAGACTGGTGGTATCCATGTAGGCTCCACAAGCAATATGAAAAGGCCTTAAGTGCAACGCTGAAAAGGCTTTGACGAGCGTGGGTCGTTTCTCATTTAGGCAATAACAATATGAAGTCTTGATAAATATTGTTTATTTCCTTCATTTTTCATTCTATTTGTAGTTAAATTTTAGTTGGTGTTTTGCTATCTATAATTATAAATCTTTTGTCTTTAAACTACTACTTCCTCTTTTTTGAATTTTTTGGACTTGAAAATTCAATTGTCACTTCAAAATGTATTAAAAAAGCATTCCAAACGTCACAAATTTTAAATGAAAGTAATACTACTAGAGTACAAAACAATTATCATGTAACTATACATATCAAGACAATTGTAAAAACTAAAATTGTTGTATAAATAATAGAATGATAAGTGAAACAAACTTAATCAAACTTCAAACTTTGTGTTTGAATAAGAATTTTTTAAACAAAACTTAACTTGATTTTCATATCATCTTATATTATCCATACCCAGACTATAGAAAATTAAAATCAGAACAAGAAACCAAGAAGAGATCTAGAAATATACCAAACAAATTAGTCTGAGTTAAACTTGTGTCAGAATAAGAAACATCATGCAATTATGCAAGGGTAAGGTTTAGGATGTAAGCCTAACCTCTAATAGACACATGGCGCAATAATTAGGTGTCCATTTGTATCACAAAATTCACTGGTATGAAATTAGTCTGCCCTACGTGCAGGAAGTTGCAAGTCAAAGGCACATTCTTATTTGAATTATATATCTTATGGTACTAAGACTCACTCGTGTTTGAAAAATGTGTGTGTTAGAGAGAAGTGACTTTCCTACAGGTGAAAGCTTGTGCTTCATACCCACCCATTCATCACCTAAACGCTCAGCTTACAGTAATCACCAGTTATGGAGTTCATACCTTTATGAAATAACTATTTGAACCGCTGCAGACTAGGCAACTTTCACTTAAGACTGTACAACATTAAAATCCAGCTAGTTGCCTCCAGTATAAACTAAAGAGGACTACTATATCAATAGTGGAGCATTAATCAAAAGCATCAACTCAGGTATACTCAAACCGTTGATTATTCATTGATTCATGCTGCATGCTGCATATATCAGAAATTTGGAAAGAAAGTTCCCATATGGAGTTAATGTGAATGATCCAGGCTAAAATAGTCTAAATCAAAAGAGATTTTATAATAATGAGCGAAAGGCCTGGACTGTCATGAACAAATAGCTCACAAGCTTACAGGTTCAGTGGCTTTCTTCAACCATGCCTTCTCAGATTCGTCCAAGTATGGAGCCAAAATATCTCTACAATTTGAGTGGTAGGTGTTCAACCAATCTACTTCTTCAGGATTTAACAGACTCAAGTCAATCAACTTTTTCTGATATGGTGCCTGAACATAGAAACCATAAAAACAAAAGGCCACAGAGTTGTGTTACCTTCTTTTAAAAAAAAAAGCAAAAAAAAAAAAAAATTGACGCATAAATTCTTCATAGAATGTTTGAACTTTACAGACGAGACTGAACTTCCATGGGCCTATTTGGTTTAGATTTTTGCTGCGACTTCAATAGTGACTTTACAGCATTCCAAAATCTTAACCAAACATGAAAAGCTTAAGTACTTTCGTTAAAAAACCAAGCTGAAAACACATGCCGAGATTTCTAGCTTTTCTTCCAGTCAAATAAAACAATTATTTCTTCCTAAATTTATATCTACAGCACTAAAGAATAATTTCACCAAGCAATTAACAAACTTTTATCAAAAAGCTGTATTTTGTAAATTTGATTTTTATTTCAGTTTTTTATCTTGCAGAAGCTGAAACTCAACCAAAAGGTACTACATCTTTTCAGCTTTGATCCGGAGAGGGAGAGGATAGAATAGTAAAAGACAATTTGGTTTATCGATGAAAAAAAAAAGTTTGTCCTCTTCACGAGTTATTTCCACTTTATCCCTTCTCCTCCAGCTAATAACAAAGAAAAAAAACATCATTTCCTATTCCTACAACAGCCTACCCTTCAGATAAACTGTGTAAACAGGAAATAAGATGTGAAAAATCTTTTAGACCTGCTAAGGTTTTGATTGGAACTTTATTTTTTGAAATAAATGAATATCTATTAATAAAATAAGGTATTAATTGGAACTTACTTTACAATTCAACAATTATTTCAACAGTGAAGACGAGATCATTTGACATTACAAGAAACATATATGATGATTGTTTTACCATGCGCAGAAGGATTTAGGAAAATCTTGGAACATTTGGATGAGAAGGTGCATGAGGTGAATATGCATGTTGAAGACGCAAAATTCTATATCAGAGAGTTAAAAAGTGCAGGGATAAGTTAAAGTTTGCATATATTTCCAAAGTCCTCGTTTTCCCACTTGACCAAGATTGGAAAAAGTAGTGTTCTTTATCAATCTGTAATTTATTTAGTATAAAAATTGACATAACATAGTTACCCCGAAAGCATAGCACTTCAATAACCAATGAGAAAGAACTTACCCATGTTATATGCTCAAATGACAAATAACCCTTATCACCAAAGTTGTACGTGGTGTCAGCTTCCTTAATTATAAGGACATTCTCCAATCTTATACCAAAGGACCCATCCTCATAGTAACCAGGTTCTGAGAAGTGCAACATATAAAGTAAGTAAATACAAGGATGAAGTTTTCATAAAATAATAATAATAAAAAAAAGATGAAGCTACAATGTGCGCAGTGGAGTCAGCTGCCCCTACTGAAATTTAAAATCAACTATGAAGTTTATCTATGCAACAGGTAACATTTTCAATTAATTTATTAACTTTGGCTTCACTTGGTATAGAATTAAATGTAACAAATAAACTGTGTGAATTAAGATTCAATCTTCGAAAAGAGTTAATATTATAATACTTAAAAACTGCCCAATAATAAAAATTTTTGGCTCTGCCCCCAAATACAGGAATGATTTTCCTTCGAAAATTACTAGTGGTTCTTGCTAAAGACAATAATAACCCAACAAATACAAACAAGTCAAACCAGCGGACGTAATATACTATTTGATCACTATGATTACAAAATTTCTAGTCTCAAATCAAACTCAAAAATTAGGTCAAGGAGTCCTTTTCTAGAGAACCCCAAAATGAAAATACTCCTGCACGAAAAACAAATTCATTCAACCATAGGGATAAATCTTTAAAAAATTCCAATACTAACCATCAGTCACAGTCATGGAAGCTTGAAGTGGCACATTCCGGGCATATGGCCTGAAACTGATTAAATGGGGTCCTGCATAATAAGTATAATCAAACATCATATTAATCAAATTATTAAGATATAAAAGAAAATAAAAGCAACCGTAGTTCACTATTTACCTTCATGAACAAACAAGTAAGATCCAACACCATGACCAGTGCCATGTCGATAGTCAAGACCATCCTTCCATAAAGAAACTCGGGCAAGAATGTCAAGGGCATGACCTGTAGGTTTGGTTATCCGACGAGAGAACTTTTTACACAGGATATTTTAAAGTGAACATAAAACTGAGTATTAGAAAGATCTACAAGGAGAATACCAGTGGTCCCATTAGGAAATCGAGCATTACCCAAACCAATATGACCCTTGAGAACCTAGAGCAGACAACACCAAGTTCATGCAATATTATGTGTTAACATGAAAGGGTTGATGAGATTGACAGGAAAGACATTTGAAGTTTTCGTAAAAGGAAAGAACTTCAAATACCCATTAAAAAAAAATTCTGCAGTGGGACAAAAAGGAAAAAGAACAAAACCACCTACCGCAGTATAGCATGCCTTTTCATGAGCTGAAGGTTTTCCATAATGAACTGTTCGAGTTACATCAGTTGTTCCATCCAGATACTTCATATATTCATAATTTACGGAAAGAAAAATAAAACATTAGAAATAAGAAGTTTTAACAAAATATGAGTTGAGAAGGAAAAATATTTGATTTTGAATAAACCTGTGCTCCTGAATCAAACAGATAGATACTGTTTGCATCTAACTCAGCACATTTTTCTGCCTCTGGTGAATAATGTATTACTGCAGCATTTGGACCAACAGAAGAAATAGTTGGAAAACTTAAGCCTCTAAAATGCTGCAGTTATACAAAAGAAAATGATCATAATCATGTGAGTGCAGGAAAAATTAAAACTTAAAAATATGTGAATCCACATGAAAATGATAGAGCTGAGCTAGAATTCACATGATTCTGTAACAATTCGGCAGAACAATGATACATAAACAAAATAAAGGACTGATAGACAGTCAATTGGTTTATGGAGCAAAAAACAAGCAGGTGATAACAGAAAGATCGTTCATGAGAACATAGTTAACAGATCACATAATAGATTTTCTGCCTTGATACTCCGATAACATCTGATGTATCTCATATAATTCGTTTTTCAAAAAAATAATTATACAGTAATTCTGTAACATCATTATAACTGTTCTTTGGAAAAAGAAATATTATTAGAGATAGAAAGAGAAGTACAACAAGCAGAGGACTAGATATCCTCCCATAAGAAGGGAAAAAGAAAAATAAAGAGACACTA